GTCCTATGGCTGGGGTCTGGAGGTTGACGAGCAGCAGTGGTTGAACGGGCCAGGGTGGCAATAGCGTCCATCAACTGGGCCAACACACGGCTACTGTCACGACCGACAAATCCCGGGGCTCCGTCAGTGGTGAATCGATGCCAATAGGCGAATCTGCCGACCCGAAACCCAATCTAACCAGCCCCCAATCCGATGTCTGGCCCCCTGCCCTATCAACCATGCACTGCATCCAGACCTCCACCCGCATCCGGACTTCTGCCCGCATCCGGACCTCCACCTGCATCTGTACCTCTGCCACTCCTGGTTGCCCTCCACACCCTGTGGTCAGGCCAACACTCCCCTCCGACCTTGCTGGCCATCATGCTGCCCTTGTTTGTGACAGCACTGACGGACCACCCTCTGTTGCGGACTTGTCAGCACCACGCTGATTTCCATGTCCCTTCGCGGACTTGTGTCGGCACCGCACCGACCCCGCTTATTTGCGGACTTGTATCGGCGCCGCATGCTGACCTCCGCTTTCCTCTGGCCATCTTGTCACTCAGCAGCATACCATTCATTCCTTGCCGAGTGCCTATATTGTTCATCCATTCATTCACTTAGCTTGCCAATATTGGCACTTGACCCATGTGCTGATGCACTTCTTATTACCTGTCAATATTGGCACTTGATCCGCTTTTGTTTAGTTCATTGCCTCCCATTTCCCGGGCTCTTGTCCTTCATTCAGTTTGACAATCCCCGCTTATTTCCGCACCGGACCACGCCGGACTGACCGGTCCTTCTGTGTTTCCCTCCTGCCTATTTATATCCTGTAAATACTTTCGGGGACCTTAGTCTGAAATCAACTAGAGTACCCCCCTGTCTGGTCTGAGTCTCTCCTTCTGCAAAGGGGGCTTCCCCCCCTCTGAGTCCGTGCTCGTGGAGTCTGCGCTCCTCCTACAGGTCTGCTCCACCTGCAAGTCTTGTTTGAAGTCCACTGTGAGTGTCAATCCGTAAATATGGGATCTCCCCCAAATGTCAAGCTCAGGGCACAGCGCTCCACCTGAGTCGCAGAGGCCGCGGTCCCACTTTGCTAACCTTGAACAGCACTTCCGGACGCGCCGCATATTTCCGCCCGCATATCCGTGTGTGCGCTCCAACAGACCTCTGCCACAATCTCCGACCCCAACTCAGACAGAACCCAATCCACCTTCTGACAGTTTGTCCGACTCCGACAATATCCCAGTCTCCGACAATAATCCCGTCTCTGACAGCTACCGGGGTCGTCTGGCAGCTGGTCATCGGGCGGATCATCACCACTGTCATCACCATTACCACCATCACCATCACCACCACCATCACCACGGTTGGGTGGGACATCTGGCAGGTCCAGAGGATTGGCGGGGTCAGGACGTGGAGTAGGGTTACAAGAAGCTTCAGAATCGTGGTTATCAGCTTGGCTATCCAGGTCGACATCTCTCTCAACAGCAGCCTCGTCATGGTCTTGGAATATCAAACGACGAAATCGACGGGAGGGTGTGGAGTGGAGGAGGTAGGGATGTCACGGTTGGCCATAAAGCTTTGGAATGGCAGATGTTCAGAAGGGTCTAGATCATGTCTGCACAGAAGTTCTTCAAGCGTACCGAGACCTGGAAGCCTAGAAGAACCAGGTTCAGTGCGCATCTGCGAACGGGTCTGATAAGCTCTAGACATAGTTCAGTGAAACAATGATAGAGCAAGGAAAGAACGTAAGTGTTAGATACTGATCCGGGGTCGGGCACCGAAGGTCGCCGATGCGGACCGCTAAGGGCCGCGATGGCCGCGATGCCTCAGACAAGGCCCGAGGGTAGGGCATTTGGCCTCAGCAACTCTAAAGGGAGTGCTGTGCCCCCTAGTTGTCTCTTGGCCCTCACTTCAAACTTACTGGGGCTGCCTTGTTGGGGTCAGGGCTTGGGGTCGTGGTCAAGTCGATATTAGAGCTAAGGTACTATAATGTAGTATACAGGATATATATATGAAGGTGAAATGAATAGAAGCGGACCCGGGCCGAAGGCCGAAGGGTCCGGAAGCAAATAGGAACAAAGAGCGGGGTTGGCCGCACCGCGGCTGGCAATGACCGAGGGTCAAAACAAACAATAACAGATAAATAAACAAAGGGGTGTAGGGCCGCGATAGCGGCGATGGTATCATAACGGAGTAGGCGATGTCGCGGAGTCACGCTAGGTCGGTACCAGAGGCGGACTCGGGGCAGGGAGGTCGGTGTGGCTGTGGGGGAGTCGGCCAGGTGCAGGGGAGCCTAGGGGCAAGCGGGGAAGTGAGCAGGGGGTCCTCAGGGAGGATAGGGCTGAGGTCGGGGCTCGCGCTCACGCTCGCATAGCGGTAACGGGCTCGGGCGGCATCGGGACGGGCGGCTAACGGGCCGGAATGCACAGCCGTGACAGTAAGAGCAATTTGAGTTCGTATATACTGTCAGGAACGTGCCAGACATGTATCCAGGTGACCCGCAAGGCGCACGAAGTTGTCCAGGCTCATAAGGTCGGAGGGGCGGGACTTTAGCTTCAGTGACTCAGGTGGAGCACTGCGCTTCGTTCTTACGTTGGTATCCCAATTTCAGACAGAAGCCTTACGATGAGGAGAGGAGTCTAGAGGGGGAATCCAAGTCGATATACGAACTGAGGTACATCCGGTGTAACCTACATGCATTATAAACACAAGTAACTAAATAAGACCGGCCCAGAAGGAGTGGCGGATCAAGCGCGATATTAATGAATGAAGAAACAAACAAATAGTTAATATCGGCAAACTTGGTCAACAAAAGGCAAGCAAGGAACAAAAGGAGGAACAATAGTCCGCAAGCGGACAAAAGAGAAAAGGCCATCCAGCCGTCTAGCAAGCTGTCCGGCTGGTGGGTGGACAACTGTCAGGGTTCAGCACCCTGCCCTAGGGTGCCCCAGACTCCCCAACCAATCCCTTCCTTCCATTCCTTCATTGTTGCCTTGTTGTTGCCTTTCTGTGTTGTGTACACACGTGCGCACGGGATAGCGTGGGAACTTTCTGAGCGAGCAGCTCGCCCAGAATGTTCCCACGGGTCACAGCCACAGTTCTGGGCGAGCAACTCGCCCAGAACGTTCCCACGCGTACTGGGCACTGCCACCTGGATGTTCCCTCCGGGTCACACTACACAACTCTAGGAGCTGTATAGTTGTGGGCATGTGACCCATTCCTTTATATAGCAACCATGCGGGGAGATGAGACCTTTACCCTTCTTCTCATCTCATGCCCCGCATAGGCAAGTGTATATATTATCTTTCCTCTTACTATACATCTCATGCCCCGCATAGTGTGAGGACAGGCCAGATGGGGGTTGAGGTCAGGGAGCCTCCGAGTCCGAGGCCGGGCCCTGACAACAACAACGAAGCAGGCAACCTAGGTTGGAAGGTACGCGCGCGGGGGAGGAAGTGCAGATGAGGGTGACGGGTGGATGGATGATGATGATAGTGGGCGGGATGGGACAAGTGGCACTAGGACGCGTTGACAGAAGTGACGGATATGTCGGGTTGTGACAGGTTGCAGAAGAACACCAGGATCGCACTTGGCAAAGGCTCAAGTAGTGCAATTCTCTCGCTGACCCACGATGTCAAAACTCGAGGCAAGGACATCGCATCAGACCGACTTTCTTCTGTCATCACCGATGACGAGATGGAACTTGTTTTGGGTCTATTCGAGAAGTTCAACGAGAAATACCCTTTCCTTCATCTTGATATTTGTCAGAACATGAGCTGCTCTTTGCCACACCTGTCAGAGACCAGATTCGAGACGAAGGAGTGTCTCCGTAGCGGAGGGCTTTGGCCTCAGTGACTTCTGCCAAGAGCGCTGTGCCTAGTGACACGTCCGTGCCCTAACTTACTGACTGGCAATCAGAACCGAAGGGGGGTAACTCTAGTTGATTTTATTACTGGGGTGTAACCTATGTACAAGTGGGACATATATATGGTTACAGCGAAGACAGATCCGCGATTGGCAGAGCCGAATGGAGCGGAGCTAACGGGGTTTAAACATTAGCCGACTGAATATTACTGATGAGTTGGGTCGCAGGGTTAGCGGAAAGGCAGGTGATAACCCAGAAACGGAAAGGAGGGATAGGCCCGAAGGTGGGCTCTGCAGGGCAGGCGAGTGTATTGCCCAGCGGAGGCGGGAGTGCGCTAGTGGACGTCGGAGCTGTCCGGAAGTCTTCGGGGCTCCGTACTTAGGGAGGCGTAGGTAATAAATTGAAATGAGGGGGTGGTGACCATCAAGGGGTACCGAGGGGATCGCGGAATACGGGAGCTCTGAGGTTAGTGAGGGAGGAGCGGAGTTAGACCGGAGGGATCGGAGGGACCGGAAGTCGATGGCCGGGAATGGATATGACAACACCCCTATCCCCAACTTTTTTCACTCAAGTTTGGAAATCCATACCCGACATATGCATTCGTTATCAGAGGCGCAAACCCGAAGGTCTAACGTGTTTACCAATGCGCTGACACTTGCACATCCATACTAGCAACATCAACAACCACTCTATTATTATACAATGCTAGTCGACTGTGTCCATTATGCTTCTGTTATTTGTGAGTCCACTCAATTATCTGTTGAGGTATGTACCCTGCAGTCACTTCCGTCAATAGACCCCTCAGCTGCGCTTATCTATGTCCTGTAGATTCCCCAGAGCAAACGCAGGCACTAAAAGGACTCCATGTATTACTTGAGAGTGATCTCAAGGCTTTAAAAACACTATGTCCCACCCTTCTGCAGACCACTGTGAGCATGCGAAACACAGTGTTCCAGAGATAGACAATCGATTTGTTTCATTTTCCTATTTCCTCGAATCGCCTAAGTTTTGAAATTCGTACACAATGTATGAGCTCATTATCAGAGGCACAAGCCCGAAGGTCTAACGTATTTGCAGTGGCACTTCAATGCGCTGACACCTGCACATCCATACTAGCAACATCAACAACTACTCAATTATTGAAACGTATTATACAATGCTATGCCCAACTATACCCCTGCTCTTCCGTTATTTGTGAGTCTGGAGTTGGTGACTCATTTAATCAACACCCCAATCCTGATTGTGTTTCCCCTGTCTAGGTGTATCAACCATGCTAACCGACAACCATGGGATGTTCTTTCCATCGCTAAGGGTCGCATTGTAGAGTTTCTCGAATCCTCTCCCCCAGCTCCAGTGGGAGTCCATCTAGTGGCGTTGAAGTTCGCTCAATGCATAATCTTGGTCCAGACACGGGGTGTTAGCGACCCTCGAGTAAGCCCATCAAGGACTAACTGTCATGATATTCCATCTCAATCTGATGTTTCTCGCTCTCATGCCAGTTGCAAAACAAAGTGGACCCAAACATTTCGCTCATCCCCTCAGATCACCCATTCATTAATGCTATTGCCCTTGAAGCCGAGGGAACGCAATTACTCACGCTCGTTATGACAATTCTTCATAGTTCTTCATATGTGATATCAGGTAGTTTTCCCAATCACCTTCCGTTTATCACCAATACAGGGACTCCAACTCAGTATCCGCTGTCATCAACTCCTTTGGCACACTTGCAAAGGCCCATCCACAACTTCTCCAGTTTATTATTGAAGCCACCTCCAAATGGAGTCCCGCTAAGTTAGCTGGTCAATCCACTATCTTCATCGTCGAGTTGAAATCTCTGAGAATGTGTTCCTGCAGGTTAGATGTTGGTCAGGCCTTTACCATGGATATTGTGAGGGTCTTGGAGCGAATCTCTGAGTGTATCAAGCAAATAATTCATGCTGAATATGGCTGTCAACAGCTGTGGCAGAAGCAGAATGTAGACAAAGAGGGCTACATCAATGCCTTTCGTGTCTTGCACCCAAAGTGTGTAAAGCTGGAACTCAGTGGTCCTGACACATCCTCTGCAGTTTCTGCACTTGCCAATTTCAATTTTCAGGACTCATCCACCGAACTAGTTACAGGTTTGATCATAGAAAAACTCAGCACTTCTCCGTTCAGGATGACTGATGGAAACTCTCGTCGTACATCATGTGTATGATACAAGTTTTAGAATCTCCTGCACCTTGAAAGCCGAATCCAGCCATGCAACTGTGGCTACATCAAAACCATCAACCAAGGAAGCACCATGGAAGTCCAATGTGGATGATGAGGAGATGGAGTACGAGCCTAAAAAACTCAATCGCGAGCTTGACATAAGTTCCTTGATCTCTTGACAGAAGAGCTGATTGTGTCCTTTCTACCCAGTCAGCAGAGGTGTTGGAGGTGGCTCAAACCATTGACGATTCCACTGAGGCCGACGAGCTAGCCCTTCAGCTACAAAGCACCGCATTCGATCCACCGCTGCCCCAAGAACTTGATATCATACAGGCAGAATCCTTCATACACTCTGCAAGGTTCATATCTCAAAGACTGGTACAAAGCAGTTGGAGCGAGCACATATGAATCTCATTGCAGTCCCTCATGATGCTGAATCTACTCCAAAGCCGGAACTAGGGGCGAGCAATGATGGATTATTGAGACCAATACCATCACACGAAATGTGGATTTTGCTGTTTGTGCAAACTGTCACATGTGGTCAACGAAGTTCTATCGGCACTCTGGCAATGGGGGATTCGGGCACACAAGGGAGGGATAAGCAAGACAGTGCAGTCGACTAGACTGAGCCAGCTTTATTGGTTGGAGGGTGAAATGACAGTCTGCAGCAAATGATCTGTAACTACCTTATGGAGGCTTTCACATCAAGGTAAGTGCATCCTCTGGGATGAGAGCCCACCTTGCCGTGGTCCAGAGGCTGCCCCAGTGCCCAATGTGGTTAGCTGGCTTTGGCTCTAAGAGGCTGTCAGGGGACGACTCCCGGGTCCCCATGACCCTCCCCTATGGCCCACAGCCTCAGGTCTGGCCAGCCCTATCCAGGGCACAATCCTACTGTGGGTCAGAGATGGTATATAAAAGAGAGGCAAGTATATACAACTTGCCTACTGTGGGTCAGAGATGAGAAGGAAGTGTCAGGGACAGCTCCGAAAGCGGCAAGGTCCCTGCATGCGGGACTCGGTGGGATGAATAGCGGCTGTGCATAGCGGCGATCCCGTTGCGGGGTGAGCATCCCCGACCACTTAGTCTGAAGTGGGAAGTTGAGATTATCATTAAAGGGGAAAGCTACGGTACTTACCTGAAGTGGGAAGTTGAGAAGAAGGCTGCTTCTTCTGTTCCCACCCCAGGCACTATTATATACATGCGGCTAGGGTCACGTGGAGGAAGCCACGTCATCTCCACACACAGCTGCACCTCCCTGGGTGTCTCCACGGGAGATCCTGGAGGTGGCCGCTCAGTAGGCAGGAGTGTGCACGGCGCGTGCGGCAATCAGGGGGGGGCGGGGTTAGGCATGTAGTGGTACATAGAGAAAGGGAAATCGACCGTAGGATAGAAATAGAAATAGAGATAGAGAGAAAGGGGAAAGTGGGGGAGGAGAGAGGGGGAGTGATAGCGGGGTAGTGCAGTACGGTGCGGGGTCAGGCGGGCGTGCCCTGACAGGAAGTTAACTTCTCATCTTCCCACAGTGGCCACAATACATCGAAAACTTCCAGAGATATCCGGAAGTCACATGAGACCCAAGACCCGAGGTCTGGGCCATCCAGCCGCACTGAGCATCCGGCACAGGGCGCGCGCAGGGAGTGCAACAGCCGGGTGCAGTTGCGGGTGCGGGTGCGAGTGCGGGTGTGGATGCAGGTATGGGCTAGGTCAGGGTGTATGCCCTGACAGAGGCTCTCTTGGGTACACGAGTGGATGACATAGATAGCGCTTACACGTGGCAGCTGCTTGCACAGCTGTTTCTCATTCTCTGTGTGCCTCAGCATGTTCTCCAGTACCTCGCCAACCTAGCCACTGATCCTTTAACATGAGTTTTGGATCCACTGGAACACTGACTAACAAGAATAATCGAAGGTTTTAAGGGCTGCGCCAAGCTTCAATGCTTTGCAGGACTTCGCACTCTTGAAACCTCAATGCAAGGCAATGCACTTAACATTCTGCTTCAGCTGACAATGCATTAAGGTCCGTTGTTCAATTTTTCGGGAACCCAGGGGCCTGATCTTCTTTTAGACATGAAGACGTGCATTGTGGCAATAAACACGATCAAAAAATGGGTCTTGGATGTGAAGCCGCTGGGTAAGCTTGTCCAAAAATTTGCTATCAAATTATTGAGACTACTAGAAACATGAACAAGCCCCTCCAAATCTAATGCTAATGGAGCAACTGCCCAAAACACCAAGCTATTCCCTTCAGAAGTACTTGCCATTGGGATGCAACAAGTCTTGGACAAACCGACTCTACCTGTGTTGTTCATGTGAACAGTATGTTTACAACATGGACAAACATGATGTTGAATGGCTGCAGAGGGATGGCAGCATCACCCTTAGCGAAGGCTCAAGTAGCAGAATTCCTGCTGACTCTCAATGTCAAAACTCGAGGGACATCACATCAGACCAACTTTTTTGTCATCACTGAGGACGAGATGGGACTCATCATGGTTGACACAGGGACTGTTGAACAGTTGTCGTTTAAGGTCGCTCAGTCTGCCGGTGTTTCGGCCTTATTTTCCAGTTTCTGTAGATTCATGTACCATGCGTGGGAAGTAAACATACATAATTGTACATTGTGTAGCAGTGATAGAGCTGATTGAGGCTTGACTGACACATAGATTGTGTTGATAGAGCAAATTGAGATGATTGAATTGCTGTCTATCACTTCTATTGACCTTTGAGGTTTGCTGATGTTGTCATATCCATCCCCAGCCATCGACTTCCACTCCCTCCGATCCCTCTGGTCTACCTCCGCTCCTTCTTCACTAACCTCGGAGCTCCCATATTCCGCAATCACCTCGGTACCTCTCGATGGTCACCACCCCCTCTTTTCAATTTATTACCTATGCCTCCCTAAGTACGGAGCCCTGAAGGCTTCCGGACAGCTCTGATGTCCGCTAGCGCACTCCCGCCTCCGCTGGGCAATACACTCGCTTGCCCTGCAAGCCCACCTTCAGGCCTATCCCTCCTTTCCGTTTCTGGGTTATTGCCTACCATTCCGTTAACCCCGTAACCTGACTCATCAGTAATATTCAATCGGCTAATGTCTAACCCTGTTAGCTCCGCTCCACTCAGCTCCGCCATTTTAAAATCGACTAGAGTTTACCCCCTTCAGTTCTGGTTGCCAGTTTAGTAAGTTAGGGCACGGACGTGTTACTTGGCACAGCGCTCCTGGCATAAGTCACTGAGGCTGAAGCCCTCCATCATGGAGGCACTCCCTCGTCTCAACCTGGTCTCTGACAGTATTTTATTACTCCCTGACTAGTACACATCTTGTACGGCACCAAAAGCCCCTCACACTCGTTCGCAACTACGCACCTTAGTTCCCGACTCTGCCTCACCGTCCCCAGAACCCTCACAGCCTGGTCTCAGTCGATTGGCAAGAAACCCAGTTGAGTTTCGTAGCTTTTCTAATCTAGAAACCCCTCTCCCATTGACTCCAATCATGCGTCCCATTAGGAATCGATCACCAGTTGCAGATTCCGATTTCAGAGACACCATGGAACAACCCATAGACCCCGTTCACTTCTTTGGACTCGGTTCCGAGGTCCCCAACTTTGTCGACCCTCCTCATGCTGATCCTCCCATCCCCACTGTCCCAACCACTGACGATGCCGAACCCATCCCCAACATGGCTATTGCACAATTAGCCCAAGCCATCGCCAGCTTGGCTCGTCACACCGGACGTCCACCACCTCCACCATCCTCCGCTCTCCGGACCAAGGTCCACGAGCCCGAACAGTTCAACGGGAAAGATCCCCGAGAACTCCGAGTATTTCTGGTCCAATGCAAACTTAATTTCCAGGACCATCCCCTTGCTTTTGCTAGCGACCACGCTAAGGTCATCTTCGCGCAGTCCTACCTCAAGGGAATGGCCCTCGATTGGTTCGAGCCGGATCTATTATTCGATCAAAATTCTACGCTTCGTCCATGATGGATGAATAACTATCAAGAGTTCATCAATGAACTTCAAACCAACTTCAGTCCTCACAATCCTGTGGGCGACGCCGAAGTTCAACTAATGACCCTGGACATGAAGGATGGGCACCACATCAATAAGTACGTCATCGAGTTCAACTGACATGCCTCTCAACTTCATGGTTACAGAGAAGCCGCGCTTCGTCATTTTTTCTATAACGGATTGCCGGAATGTATCAAGGACGATATTGCCAGAGTAGGTAAACCTTCTACTCTTTCGGAACTTCGCACCTTGTCACAAACTTTTGATGCATGCTATTGGGAGCGTAAATCTGAAGTTACATGTCACGCGAAACCCTCCTCCTCTAACATTTTCGACAAGTCCACCGCTGCTTCTCATTCCAACCCCGTCCCTTCCTCCTCCTCTTTCAACTCCGCTTCCGGTAGCAAGCCTCCGAAGGACAATAAGAAGTCCAAGGCCAGCTCCGCTAAACCGGACCTTTCATCAAAACTCGGAGACAACGGCAAGCTCACACCACAAGAGCATAAGCGTCGTCTCAACGAGAAACTTTGTATGTTCTGCAGCCAGTCTGGCCACATGGTCAAGGACTGTCCCAAGTCTTCTTCTCACGCATCTAAGGCCCATTCGGCCCAGACCGAGGAGCAAGGATCCGCTTCCACAGAAGCAAAAAATTAGTCCGCACCCCTGTGGACTCCGCACGGACCGGGGGTTGCGATTCTTCCCTCCGTGCGCTCAAAGAAGTGCATTTAAACGCGTCTTCCATCTCCAACTTATCCTCCCTCCATATTCCCGTTTCTTTTTCTCTTTCAAATGGTCTATTTTCTCCTCTCAATGTTGACCCTCCGGTTAATGTTCTACCCATTGTAGATGTCAGAGACCAGGTTCGAGACGAAGGAAAGTCTCCGTGGCGGAGGGCTTCGGCCTCAGCGACTTATGCCAAGAGCGCTGTGCCTAGTAACATGTCCATGCCCTAACTTACTAACTGACAACCAGAACTGAAGGGGGGTAACTCTAGTCGATTTTATTACTGAAGTGTAACCTATGTACAAGTTGGATATATATATGGTTACAGCGAAGATGGGTCCGCAAATAGCGGAGCCGAATGGAGCGGAGCTAATGGGGTTAAACATTAGCCGACTGAATATTACCGACGAGTCGGGTCGCGGGGTTAACGGAAACGCAGGCGATAACCCAGAAACGGAAAGGAGGGATAGGCCCAAAGGTGGGCTCTGCAGGGCAGGCAAGTGTATTGCCCAGCGGAGGCAGGAGTGCGCTAGCAGATGTTGGAGCTGTCCGGAAGTCTTCGGGGCTCCATACTTAGGGAGGCGTAGGTAATAAATTGAAAGGAGGGGGTGGTGACCATCGAGGGGTACCGAGAGGATTGCGGAATACGGGAGCTCCGAGGTTAGTAAAGAAGGAGCGGAGGTAGACCGGAGGGATCGGAGGGGCCGGAAGTCGATGGCCAGGAATGGATATGACAGTAGATAGTGTTGCTGATGTACCACTCTCTCCTCCGCCCCCTCCGACTACTTCCATAGATCAATCCACCTCTCTCCATTTCTCTTCTTTCTCTTCTCCTGTCCCTTCTCCCCTGTCCAATGATAGGACACAAAATAAACTTTTCCGCTCCTATGAGAAC